GGTGGGGTTCCCAAAGAGGTAAGATCCTGTCTGAGTCAAGAAAGACCAGTGGCTGAGGGGAGATCAGTCTCATTTTTCTTCATCAGATTACTATTTTTTCAGTCCACCTGTCCCTACTTTTTAAAATTTATTCATTCATTCATTCATTCATTCATTCATTGCTATTGGGTATGTGTGCTCAAGAGAGAAAGAAGGAGAGAGTGAGACATACAGTGAGCAAACACTCCTCAGTTTCCTTTGGTGATTTTGGGCACCCACCCACACACACACAGCACATTCTCAAGCCATCAGGTCCAGGAATTGAACCAGGTAGTTGGCATGTGGGCTCCAACTGCCTTAATCACCATCAATCTGCCAGCCCCCATTTTTATATAGCTTCTGTCTCAGAAGAGTCAAACACTTTATTTTCAATTAATCCCGGTAATTTCATTGTGATCTAGGTAGGAACAAGACTTCCTTTGAAGAAGAAAAAGGTACAAACTACTCATCACAAAGTGTCAAATCTGAACAAATACAAATTAATTTTACCAATTAACCTGAGATAGCGGGAAATGTGAGAAAGAAAGAAAATGAGGAGAAGGAGAAAGATCTAGATCATCATAGTGTGAATTAGATAGGAATTATTTATCACTATAGGGCCTACATTCAACAAAACATTTAAGAATGTTTTTTAAAATGTAAATTTTTAGATTAAGTACCATCTAATCATTCCTTATCATAAAACAGGAGTCACCTCAGGTTTTTGCTGTCTTTATTTTTTTTTAATGTTTGAGATATTATAACGGAATCCAGCCATGATTTGGAGTTCAATAAACTTTGTGTTTAGGAGCACTGGACTACTTTAACAGTGTACCCATTGTATCAACCACATCTACTAGCATGGATTCACAAAAGAAGGCCTTGAAAGAAATGTAATAGAATGTATATAAAAAGCCAGGCTCCTCCTCCCATTAAAAGCAAGTTGAAAATACCATGAGCTAATATTTTCTTGTACACTTTTTACAGTGCTTTGATGAAAATGTATAACTTTTATAAAGTTGACAAATGTGAGGATGAAATTTATCTGAGCTTGGAATTTTTGCTAATAATAAGGCATTATATAAGTACAAAGTTATTTTACTAAATTAAATCTGAACTTAATGAATAATTAAAAACCCTCTCCATCTAAAGATTTTTCAAATGCAATATTTTTTCATTACTAGAACAAATCATCTTAATATTAGACTAAAAATAATTAGTCAGTAGTTTTAAAAAGTCTTTCAAGGGGTCAGCAGGTGATATGGTGGTTAAGGTGCTGGACTCCCCGCATCGCCAACCACAGTTTGAGTCCTGAACTTTTGGCTCACCCTCTCACTTTCCCTCGCTCTCTGATGAGCACACATGACCGATAGCAAATTAAAAATAATAATAAATAAATGTTTAAAAAATTTTTTTAAATTATTTTATTTAACTTTGTTTATTTTTTTTAATTTAACCAGACAGGGACAGAGTGAGTGAGAGAAAGAGAGAAAGGGGAAGTGAGAAAGCAAGCCGCCAGATCCAAGACTCAAAGCAGTTGGTCATGTGGGAGTCCAGCGCCCTTAACCACCATGCCACCCACGACCCCCTAAATAAAAATTTTTCTAAAAAAGTATTTCAAAACATTATTCTCTCTAATCTTTTCTTTCATCTTTACTTTTAAATGTGACACCTTGGGCTGTACTTATACTTGGGCAATATTTATGCTTGGGCAGTAGGTATTCTTGAAGGAGTAAATGTGTTCATCTTAAGAAAATGCTTTTTCGGGACCAGCAGTTAGTGTAATGGCTATGTTGCTGGACTCCCCTGTAGTCAACTGTGGTTTGAGTCCCGGACCCGGGGGCTTAAACTCACGCCGGGCACGTGTGCATGCGTGCCCAAGATCCTGAGAGGAGAATGGAGGAGAAGGGATTGCAGCGTGGTCATCCCCCCGGGGAGGGATTTATCGCTTTCTGGCTCTCCGGCTCTCTCTGTCTGTCTGGCGAGCGCATGCGTCCTATAGCAAAAAAAACTGTTAAAAAAAAAAAAGAAAAAGAAAGAAAATGCTCTTCCTTTTTCCTTTAGTTGATAAATTAACAAATAATCTAAAATTTGGGGACCAGCAGTTAGCATAATAGTATGTCGCTGGATTCCCACGTAGTCGACCATGGTTTGAGTCCCAGACCCGGTGGCTTAAACTCACGCCGGGCGCGTGTGCGTGTTTGCCCAAGATCCCAAGAGGAGAATGGAGGAGAAGGGATTGCGGTGTGGCCATCTCCCCTGGGGGGTGATTTATTGCTTTCTGTCTTTCTGTCTGTCTGGCGAGCGCACGCGCCCTACAGCAAAACCCTCTCAAAAAAAAAAAAATTTATTCAGTGGGTCCATTATTTAGTCACAGCATGAAAGACATAATTTATAAACTATTATCAAACAAGACTTTTACTACAAGTTGTAGAAAAATATCAATACGGAATGTACAGTGAATAGGTATATCAGATATTTCTTCTTTACAAAATACAAACCTCTATTCTCCCCCAAAAATGTTCATTGTTTGAAGAATGGTATTGAAAAGTATGATACAAGTATAACATAATTATGATACAAATATATGATATAATTTAGATTTTTTTAAAACAACGTGTAAGATCTGTATGTTTTAACCTGGAAAGATATCCATGAAATATTTTTAATGGAAAAAAATTTAAAGTAAAATAGCATCATTCCACATTTATCTTTTCTAAAATGCATGGCCAGCATGTAGCCTAGTGGTTTAAGTGGGACGGATCCACGTGGCCAGTGACAGTTTGAATACCAGCCCTGGCAGCCTGAAAAACACAGCAGTCACAATTACACCTACAATTCCCAGTGGAGCACGATCTTGCTGAAATCCCTTCTCCTTCGTCTCTCCACCCTGTTGGAACATGGGGCAAGCACACACACACACATGGTGGCATGTTTTCAAGCTGCTGGACCAGGATTTGAACCATGGTTGACCAATGTGGGTCCCAGCTGCCTTAACCTCTAGGCCTTGGGAATAGCCTCCATAAATGTTTTGAAGTTCCCTAGCAAAACAAGGTATCTCAATTTACATGGAGAAAAAATATGCTTCAATTTGCAATTGTACAAATTGTAGGCCTAGCCAAAAAAAAAAAAGAAAGAAAGAAAAAAGAAAAGAAAGTATAGTCCAATCATTCAAAATCCCTCACCCTCCACCAAAAATAAATAAAGAAAAGCCAACCTGATTTGTCTTCTGTGTCATCGAAGTCTACATTGAAGGAATGGCCACTATTGCTGATGATTTTAGCAGAGCTTGGGTCATACTTGATACTAAGAGGTTGGAGGGAAGAGTCATATTTCACTTCTTTGGTTTTAATCTCGATTGGAGATTGCTGATCACCATCAGCAATAGGGAAAAATTCATTCCAACGACTAGGACCTTGAATAGAACCAAAAGAAAAGACTAAGTACATTATTTTATTCAACAAATATTCATTGACTATAATGTGCTTGAAGTAAAAAACAAAGATTAAGAAAATGAGATTCACATCAAGATTTTCGTATTTATTTTCTATAAGATAATTTTTTTTTCATTATGATGTAGGAAACTTCAGATTTGTCTTAAGTGATTTTCAGAATTAAACTAACCCTTGTGGAGAAACAGCATGAAAATTTTTTAAACCACTTTCCAAAGTCACCCTCTACCAAACTAAAAACAATAGCACAATTCATTATTGAAAACAATGAGATTCAGTCTCAGCTCCAAGAACGAGCTATGGTTCCTCCAGAGGTCAACAAGTTTACCAGGTCGGGAGAGTCAAAGGAGCTGAGAAAACTCTGTAGAAAAGAAAAGGTGTCATTCTTAAAGACACCGTCCCCACTTCTACTCTTTCTTCTCTTACTTGCTGGTATCCTCTCGTGTCATCCGGGCCTCAGCTTAACTACCCATGATGAGCAACAAGCTTGGGTCATACTTTTATTTTTAAATAATGATTTTATTTAACTTTATTTTTTATTTTAATTTGACTGAAGAGGGACAAAGTGAGTGAGAGAGAGAGGGAGGAAAGTGAGAAAGCAAGCCGCCAGGTCTGGGATTTGAACCATGGGAGTCCAGAGTCCTTAGCCACTGTGCCACCTGCTGGCCCCTTGGGTTATACTTGATACTAAGTCCTTAGTCTTAGCAAACATGTAACTCTTTCACATAGAATAACCCACATGGATGGTTGCACCATGTCAGGGAATGTAATACAGACAGTCCCTGACTTACAATGGTTCAACTTAATGATTTTTTTTTTTTACTTAACAATGGTGCCAAACATACACATTCTGTAGAAACTCAAATTTTGATTAAAAATTCTTTGTAATAACTTGACTGAAAAAATAAGACTCTGTGTTAGACAGTTTTTCTCAACTGTAAGCAAATGTGAGTATTCTGAACACATTTGAAAGGTGAGACAAAGTCATGTTTTTTTTGCAGGTTAGGTGTATTAAATGCCTTTTTGACTTGTGGTATCTTCAATTTACTATGGGGTTATCAGAATGTCACTCTACTGTGAGTCAAATGCATTTGTATTATCTGCAATGCAGTTAGCTTGCACTTTATTTCTTTCACTCTTCATTTCAGAGAGTCCTTCAGTGGTTATTTGACCAATGCTACATTTTTTTTTTTTTGAGAGAGAGTTTTTTGTTGTTGTTGTTGTTATAGGGTGCGTGCACTTGCCAGAAAGACAGAGAGAAACAGAGAGACAGAAAGCAAGAAGTCACCCCCCAGGAGAGATGGCTATGCAGCAATTCCTTCTCTCCATTCTCCTCTTGGGATCTTGGCCATGCACACACATGTGCCTGGCGTGACTAAGCCACCAGGTCCAGGACTCAAACCGCGGTGGACTACATGGGGTCCAGCGACATTGCCCTTACGCCAACTGCTGGTCCCGACAATGCTACATTTGAATCCCAACACCAGGTAATCCCAACACTGTCATCCTGTTTGATGTTTAAAAAGTCAAAATTGTACTAAATTCACAAATCAGCCACGTTGGGCAAATCAATGCAAGATAGTAAGCTGATTGTTCCTTTGTCTGACCTCTTCAGTTCTTTAGGAAATTCCATTCAAGTTTTGCCTCTCAAAGCTAACAGCAAGTTTGCAGTTTTATGTAAACTCCAAGTCAGTCTTTCATTGTTTTTTTCTATCTGCTAGAGGCTGCATGCACTAGCCAGGGAGAAACAGTGAGAGAAGGCACATGAGCAAACACTCCCCATGGGGGATAGTCATATCACAATCCCTTCTCCTCCATCTCTCCATCCTGTCCGGGTTTAAGGCACCCACCCGGAGTCCAGGACTTGAACCAAGAGGTCAGTCATGTGGGATCCAGTCACATTAACCACCACAGGCTAGCCCTCAAGACATTCTAAGATGTGAGTTATTTTACAAGTTGGAGGCTTGTATTTTCTTCTTTCTACTCTGCCTGCAATTAATACAGCTATTGCCAAGTGAGTACAGGGCTACTAACGAAGTTTTTCCTTTCTTTGCTAACTACGTTTTCTCTAAAAATCAAGTACTAAGTAAAACACCACACCATCACAGTTAAACAATTTTTATTAACAACAAATATTTTAAAATAATGAAATGTAGGGTGAGACTTAAAGAAATGCAAATATCATGATCATCAACAGCTTCAATTTTTAAATTGAACTCTTCATTTTTTTCAAAGAAGAAAGCATACATTCTCTTTTGAAAATATGTTTCAGGTTTAAAAAAAAAATAGTCATAGCATAAATACATAACCACGTGCTCAATCTAAAAGTTGTCTTCTCAGGACCAACCAGCAGTTGGCTTAATGGCTATGTCACTGAAGTCCCATGTAGTTAACTGCAGTTCAATTCCCAGACCTGGTGGCTTAAACTCACACCAGGCGTGTGTGCGTGCGTGCCCAAGATCCTGAGAGGAGAATGGAGGAGAAAGGATTGCAGGTGGGTGGGTGGGTGATTTCTCGCTTTCTGTCTCTCTGTCTCTCTCTGTCTTTCTGGAGAGCGCATGCACCCTATAGCAAAAATGTCACAAAAAAAAAATTGTTTTCTTCTCAGGTCAGCAGGTGGCATGGAGGTTAAGGCACTGGATCCCACATGGCTGACAGTGTGGTTCGAGTCCCCAACCTGGTGGCCTGAAGAGGGGAATGGAAGAGAAGAAATTGTAAAGTGCAAATGGCAATTCCTCATGGGGTGTCTCTCTCTCTCTCTCTCTCTCTCTTGCAAATGCACATGCCCAATAGCAAAAACTTTAAAAAAGAGAAAGAAAGAAAGAAAGAAAGAAAGAAAGAAAGAAAGAAAGAAAGAGAGAAAGAAAGAAGAAAGGAAGAAGAGAAATAAAAAAGAAAGAAAAGAAAACAAAGAAAGAAAAGAAAGTAATTCTCTCATTAATCTGACACTTTGGGCTTCAAAACAACTTGAGGATCAAAAGCCCACCACCCCTGCTTAGGAGGCTGGAAGCCTCTTGGGGAGGCCCAGAAACCAAACCTGAAAATCCTGGGTGCACTGGGAGCACCTATAATCCTAGCTAATAGGTTGGCTGGGGTAGGGAATCATGACAGTGAGGCCTTGTCAAAAATAAGTTATCACTCACTCTCTCTTTCTCTCTCTTTCTCATAAAGGGAAATAAAAGGGCATTGCTTACTAGGTATTACAGAAAAGATATTATACGTCCTCATTTAGTAAATAGTTTACCTTTCTATATACAACTTGTATCTACCTTTTAATGTATTAGAAGCTTTTTATTCCCCTGTCACCAAGTGTGAGTTATGCTAGTGAAAAGTAGATTTCAAATGTGCAACACATGTGTCATAGCATGTTGCTGACTTTTCTACAGTCAGGAAAGAATTTTTTTTACCTCCTAATTCCTTTACTCTCCTATCTCTAGTCCTTTATACCCAGAACTGCTTAGAAAAGAAGAGTCAAGCCAAAATTTAAAAAAAAAAATTAATAAAAATGATTTGTATCAAATACCCAATATTTTCATTAACTACTGTGGTCAATTCATTTTCCTGCTTCTTAAAGAGCTTCTCCCCTTTTCTAGTTTTCTAAAATATACAACTTTAAAGCCATTTAAACATAGTTATTTTTTAAAGAATTATTTTTATTTAATTTTACTTATCAATATTACTATTTTTTTTTTAATTTGACCAGAGAGAGACAGAGAGGAAAGTCAGAAAGCAAACCACCAGATTCAGGACTTGAACGGTGGCTGATCATGTAGGAGTCCAGTGCCTCAACCACCATGCCACCCACAAGCCCCAAACACAGTCCCCAAGTAGTGATATACGGTGGTTCCTTAATCGATGCAGTAACTTCCAAATATCCATAGTGACATACAGTTTTCAGCGATGTCACATTCCCTAAACTAAACCATTAAAACCACTAAAAGTTAATGGAAGATGTTATAAGGCATTTGTGAAATTGGAACCCTTTCTAGGACCTCGTCTCTTGATGTTTCATTTTACCAGTGCTGCTCTTCCCAGTTTAAGTTTCCTTTTATCTGCTTAGTCACCAGTTTTACCAATGTCTAAACAGGAAAAAAAAAAAAAAAATCAACAAAACTTGCCAAGTCAGGATACATACTCTTCCAGGAGGATTCTGCCAAAGCTGACCTAACTAAAGGTGTGGTTCTTATAACTCTATTAAATCTAAAAAAAGGGGAGGGCCTACACTTCCTAACAGAAATAAAATACCACTCCTTTTCAAAGGTCTTCTTAAGGTGGATTTATTTCTATTTGTTTGCTTCTGAAGATGAGCTTTATCAGAGCCAACATTTTTTAACCTATTAACGAGTAATCAATACTCATTTTTACACTGACAAAAATTATATATATTTATGGTGTATAGTATGATGTTCAAAAAACAGTATGGGGACTAGCAGCTGGCGTAAGGATTATATCACTGGACTCCCACATAGTCAACCAGTTCCGAGTCCCAGATTCTAGGGCTTAAAACTCACGCTGGGTACATGTGCATGGGTGCCCAAAATCCCAAGAAGAAACTGGAGGAGAAGGGATTGCTGTGTGGTCATCTCTCCATGGGGGGTGATTTCTTACATTCTGTCTCTCCTGTCTCTGTCTCTCTGGTGAGCACACATGCCCTATAGCAAAAAATATCTCTGAAAATAAAAGAAAGAACAAAGAAAAACAGTATGAAGAACAGAAAAATATGTCATGACTTTTCCAGTGACCCAATGTATATACATTGTAGAATGTCTAAATCAAGTTAACATAGCCCCCTTTTCTTAAATTAGAGAGCACAAGCAGGAAAAGGGGGAGGTAGTTTTGACAGAGTCTTACCACATCAGAATCCTCCCACCCCAGCCTCCTCGTCAGCTAAGACAACTGGCACCAGCCCAGCCTGTTCGGGTTGGGCAGAATCCAGACCAAGGCCTCCCATGCAACCTTAGTCACTCCATGGTGTGGCCCTTCCCACTTGTGATACCAAGGCTGGGCCCAGAGTCCTAGTTTTGACAGTCATTCAATATAAGACTGTCTTGGTGTCACTTTGCAAATATTTCAAAATAATCATTACTTGAAATAATCAATTTAATGTAAAAATAAGAAAATGGCTTTACTTTTGAAAATTTAGAATGAAGTAGAAGATTAGTATAAGTATTATTGTCACCCCTTTCAATGATAATAAAAACAATTTTTCAGAGAATTATTTTATTTAACTTTATTTAGTTAGTTATTTTATTTTGACCAGAGAGGGACAGAAAAAGAAATAGTGAGAAAGCAAGTTGCTAGGTCTGGGACTTGAACTGCAGTCAGCCATGTGGGAGTCCAGAGCCCTTAACCACCAAGCCACCTGCTGGCCCCAAAAATAAATAAAAATTTTATCAAGTTATTATACCTTCAATAATCCTGTGCTAATCCTTAGTCTCTTGAAGGATGAGTGTGGAGAGAAAGAAAAACTGGAGAAGTAGCACCAAATATAACTTCATTTCCCAAAAAGACCCTAAAACCTTCCTAAGTTGACAGTAATGACCCACCAATTGCAGATTGCTGCGGAAATATTTTATAATAACAGCTATTGAGAAATCTGCATATGCTGGTTGCCAAGAAGGTAACTGAATCTTCAGTATCACAACGCGAGTTAAGACTTCTCAAATATGTTAGCAACGATTTTCCATGATTCGTTCCCCCTAAATGAGCAGTGAGCTTGAAAGACTAAAAAGGAACTTGCTCTCATTTCAGCAGAGCCGGTCATCAGACTTCTAATTTCCAAGCACTGAACTGATAAGAGGTTATTACCAGGGGAAGTCTTGGAATTCCAAATGAAGGTGAACACACACATACAGAGTTGGGGGTCTGGGGACTCTCGACAGAGCTAACCCACACCATCGCCTCCACTACCAACACCCGGCCAAAGTCGCTTTCCCAGTCTACACTTGACGGAGCCGATTCTCCGCTTCCTGCATTAGGCTCAGGGCGTGCTGCTCGGTTTAAACAGGAACCAAAAAGTTTCTCGCAAGAGCGCAAGAGCGAGATCCAGAGAGCCGGCAGCTGGCGCCGGCGTGCGGGCAGCCTTCTCTGTCTCCCGTTAGCAGAACCCCCCTGGGACCGGTAAAAGGCGCTCACCGTTGTGTTCGCCGTATCCCCAGCTGAGCCGCGACATGGTCCCTCCGGGTGCAAGGCTGTGCAGATGTGGCTTGGGCAGCTACAGGAGGGAGGGGCCGGGAGGGCGCGGGGGCGGGAGCCGGTACAGGGCGGGGACTGCAGGACGAGCTCAGCGGAAAGTGGGAGTCC